GCAGTCAGGAAAGTCCCCCCATCATTGAGGCTCACCAAGGAACAGTTAACAGAAAAGTTCTCAGGCTTAATGGTTTGGAGTTGGTACAGCATTTTGCACACGATGATCACACACGTCCAGACAGTGCAGACACTTGAAGCCAGACGGCGTAGCTTGGCATATGGCAGAGCAAAAGCCCAAGAAATCAAAAATACATAGTTGAACAGAGACACCTGAAAACATAAAATCAGAAATGGAGACAAAAATACATAATATGGCGTAACATCCACAAAATACGACAAGCTTTTTTGCTCAGTTCAGCAAATGTTGAATTGAGTTTGTCGCATGTGCAAGGCATTGCCCTTGGTGCAGGGTTAGTAAGTGAGTACCTTAGTAAGTGAGTTATGTTTTCACCCCTGAGAACATTAAATCTTGTATGGCAGAAAGTAAATAAGCAGGTAATGTCAATATAATGTAGCAATGGCTAAGCTACAGATATGAGCAAGCTCCTGTGAAAGCATCTGGAAGGGGTCCCCAGTCCAACGTGGAGGTTCAGGAAATATTTTCAAGAAGATACGATGCCTGAGCTGATCCAAGCCAGCAAAGGTGAGACGTGCATTCCAGGTAAAGGATGCACTGGCCAGGCAGGAAAGCATGAACAGCATGGGGGGACAGGAGACTACAGACCACTGGAACTTTTAGGGCTGAAAGAGTGAAGTGCAGCAGGAGGTGAGACTGGGATGCATAGCAGCCAGTTGCTAACAGATGCTTTGTAAACCATGCTATGGCAGACAAATCCACTCGCCAGAAAGCAGAGAGCCACGAAAGGCATTACAGTGGGAATTTGAAGGTAAGATTTGCATCTTAGTTAGATAAATGCAACTGGAGAATGGAGGGTGCACTATGGGGGTTAGACTAGAGGTCAGGAGACCAGTTCACATGCTGCTGCAGTAGCCTTGGAGACACGGGAAATAAGATTCACTGGATTTGATGACTGATTGGCTTGGTGGAGGGTGGGGATGTAAGAGATGACTCCCAGGTTTCTGCTTGGAAGTCTGAGTAGATGACAGCGCCATCACTGAGACAGGAAAAGCTGAGAGGTGAGCAGGTTTAAGGACAGAGGGCAATGAGTTGAATTTGAGCATGTTAGCTTGTTGGCTTTGGGCTGCGTGTGAGTTTATCAATCAGGCTAAATGTCTTCCTGTACCCCATTTCTTTCTTTTTTTTTTGGCGGCTGGCCAGTATGGGAATCCGAACCTTTAACCTTGGTGTTATAACACTGTGCTCTAACCAGCTGAGCTAACCAGCCAGCCCGATGTCTCCCATTTCTACTGATTCTCCATAGCTAATAGTCCATTGAACAGTATAGAAGCACTACCATCTTATTCAGCCATGGAAAATACTCATTTATGCTGAATATTGTTAAAATAATATTCTAGGGACATTTAATATTATCAAGTAAAAATAATACTATGAAATCAATTGGTAAAACTGAACCTGTACCAAGTGCTGAGCACCATGGGCTGTGAGAGGTATGCTTACCTGTTTGGCTTACAAAACTGTAAAACAAGAAAATATGGAGACTGCATGACAGTATTTAATTCTGCAGTTTGTTACCTGCTACTCTTCTACTTAACTACTTGTCACTGTCCAAGCCAAGGGACCTCCCTGAGAATATCAGGTTAAGAAGAGCTGCCTTACAGAATTAATTAAGGATGACAGAAATACTGTATGTGGAAGTGCTCTGTAAACAAAGCGCTCGTAAGTGTAATAAATGTTACAATTTAACAAAATAATTTGATTAGCTAATTGACTCTTCTTCCTTAGTGATCAGCAAATGTCACGTCAATTTGGATGTTAAATCCTATTAAAGATATTGTGAAATTGTCTCTTTGTTATTTCTTTTATCATGTATTTAGGACATTGAGTATAAAAACAGTACAATTAATTTAAATAGAAATTTTAATTTTCTGAGTGATGGGGAAAGAGAAGAAAAGATAACTTTTAGTAAGTCCTAACTAGGTTCAAGGTAACATGTCAAGAAGCACACAGAATACTGTGATGAGAAGTACACACCCAGTCCATGACAGCGTAATGGAATGACTGCCCTGCCTGGGGCGAGTCGAGCTGTTGTGGGAGTGCACAGCCATGTCACCTAACCCAGGGTTAGGGAAGCTTGCCCAGAGGACATCAGATCTGCATTGAGACCTGAAGGATGAACACGGGTGACCAGATTATGATCCCTTATTTACTTTGACGTCTATTAAGAAGACTGCATTCTCAAGACTCATTAAGAATGATTGAGAAAAGTTATGTCTGCCTTTCGTTTAGAATTTGTAAGAAAGCGTGTCATTTAACCCTCTCTTTCTCTGTCTGAGCTCTCTCAG